CACACACACACATACACACACATACACACACACACACACACACAAAACTGTAATCCAACTCCAGCTAGATTGCTAAAGCTTGTCACCGCTATGCAGGCGACAAGAAACATCTGGGGAACCACTACACACACACACAGATACACACACAATGATGGTACATACACAATTTTAAGCAAATGTGCACACACCACACAAACAGACACATTTTTCTTCCTCACGGTAGTCACAGGATGTACCCACAGTTTCAATTAAAACTTAACACACGCATGCAAATCTGCACACAATCATACAAAACCCAGAGTCTCGTGAGTAGGCGAACGTTATGAGGTCCAGCTCAGTCTCCACACATACACAGACACACGCCTCCTCTCCTTTAACATTGAACTCAGCGGAATTTACAGAATGTCAATGTTCCCCTTTTCTCCCTCATTTCACAACACTAATTTCTGCTTCTCTGATGGCTATGTGGATTCTGAGAAACCGAGAACGTGTGTGTGCATGCGTGCCTACCTTCATGTGTGTTCCTTCATTATACATGACCTACTGGCACATACACAGACAGTTCTGTATTCCCACACATACACGTTAGTCAATGTTAAACAAGCTTGCAAACCATTTTACCTACTTAATGTGACTTATTTTGAAGTGAAACAAGATATTCACTAATAAAAAATAAATGGGTGGGACTTAACTGTATCCTTTAGTAACTGACTGGATTGTGAAAAGTGGGCAATCAGATGAAAAGGAAAGTTGTATGCAAGCAAGTAATTTTAATTTGATAGATTACGAAAACAAAATTTAGAATAATATAAATAAAAATAAGTAAAGTTTGCATAATGAAAAGAAGATACGATTTAAAAAGGTATATAAGATTTGTTTTGAATTGCGCCATTATTTTTATGAGACAGTACATTTTTCTTCTAAATTCCCATTATTGAAATGCATCCACATTATTTAATTATTTATTTACCAATTTTCATTATTCTAAATGTTGATTCTCATTACTGTAATATAGGTTTTGTTCTTGAATAAATAACTACTGTACTTGAATAATACAGTAACTACTAAATAAAGCAGTGCAAATGCAACAAGTGTAATGTACAAATTTACTAATATGTGATTATTGACGATTATGATAATGATTATTTTTTACATGAAATAATTTGATAATGAGAATCTGGGGAAAATGTGCTTAATAAACCCGGGAATGTGTATTAAGATAGTAAATGGGGTAAATTCTCATTTCATGATGACTTTAAAGACCTTAAAATATCATAGGAAAGAGAGTTTTCCTTGATATTTTGACATAAAATGCATAATACACACAACTTTCATGCAGCTCAAACAGTAAAGCATGACACAAGCAATGTCGAAATCATGCATTCAATTCCTAAATAATGAAAAAACTTGATTTAGCGTATACCTTGAACACAATGTAAGTTGCATCGCCACATGCATAAATGGAAAATAGTTATGGACAATCTAAAACTACTGTGTAAACATACTCTACTACACTAACATTCATAATGCAAAGCACCCACCACATCCCATTCATACCATTCATTAACACTAAGCTGCAAAAACATTAAAAATGGCATATTTACATATGGACCGCCCACACAGCCTGGCAACAAGTGTTTACGCAATCAAAACAGAGGGCATTTAATTCACTTCTAAGTCTTAAAGATGCAGTAGCAAAAACAGACTTGGTAATTATAAAGATTAGAGAAAGGGTGGAAAAAATCCTAATGTAAAACTAAATTATGGCTTATTTAAGGTAATTATAAAGTAATAATTTGACTTTATTTTCCCAGAACCCATCCCTGAGTGTCCCAACTTAATGGAGTAAAAGACGTCACGTCCACCCCAGGAACATCTAGTTCTTCTTCCTTCTCCTCCACAACATCATGCCTCTGTTCTTCCTGTCTTCTGCAAAGATGAGGAGGAGAGACCCACCCCCAAAAAATGAGAACTGAACTCTCTGCTATTACGGTGGGACCCTTTATCTGCTGACTGTCCTTAAACGGGTTTCCCGAGAAGGAAAATCGGACTATTTCACAAGTTAGGGCACTAGGGAGAGCTGATCACAGGGAATTTTCATGAAGAGGATCCAAAGATTTTCTTTTGTGCCATTTGAGTTGAAAAATTGATTTCAGCAAAGCTGTTTGCACACATTTCTGTTCATCACGTGCTTTGTGCGTCAGACACACCGTGGTTTCATTTGCACTTAAAAGACCATTTTACTCTCTTTCTTTCTTCTCTAATCTGTCTATCCCCATCCTCATCCTCCTTTCCCAATGAAACAATCAGTTCATCCGCTCTCTTCTAGAGGTCAGGGATGTATTAATACCTCATTCACTCCTGTTTTACCCATCTCAGTACTCAGTTTCTCAATAGTTATTTCCTCCATACTCAGTATGTCAGTGCCAAAGTACTCAGTTATCACTTTATCACTGAAATGGTGCCTGTGCTGGTCCCGGATTCGGTGCTTGGTCGGAAAATCTGCAGATCTCAGAACTGCAGATGCAAATGACTGTGTTTGTTTCAAAATGTTAAATAATTGATAATTCAGTGTCTTGATGTAACGGGTCTAGATTGGGACCAGCACCGGCACGTGTCGGTGGAAAAGGGATGTTCTCAGTACACTCACCGTCAGACCTGCTGAGAAATGATGGGGTGTTTTAAACCCTCTTGCGGTGAGTGTGGTGCTTTTATGATGTATGTAGCTAAACGATGCATTCTGTCAGAATGAGTGCAGATTTTCTTTTTTGTGGTAAATGTTGCATCAGTGACAATCAAACACAATGCCACTCTCTTACGTCTCTCGTGTCACCTGTGGATTTAAGGGCCTGAGGGCTCATAAAAGAAGATTTTCTATCTATTTTGTATTTAATTTGTATCTGATTTATGTGTGTGTGTGTGAGTGTTTCCATTATTTTCCATCCAAATTATAAAAAAAATAAAAAAAAACAAAGAGCTGGAAAACGTTTTCAGGAAGCTTAAAAGTTGAAATCCACTGCCATAAAGAGTGCCAAAACTTTGCTTTGTGTATGAATGGATGGTTTGTAGATGAATGATTGCAAATATTGTAAAAATGCTGATAAATATGCCATTGTACCAGTTTGTACATTTGAAGTTGCACATGTGCCTGTACAGCTAGGTAGCACCGTATATGTAGCTCCAGAGACAATGCTGTTACACATCTGCTGATACAATCGAAAACCAATTGCTTAAATCTTGTTTTATAAAAGTACAAACAAATAAAAATGTTCTGGTGAGAACTGAGAGTCCTTGTGCTGTGTTTATGCAACAAATAATCTCTTCAATCACTCGGAAGTGTCTGAGACAGCAGACAGTCAACCAACGGGTGACAGGGCCTCTAAACCATTATTGGGAACTTACCCAACCTCTACCAAAAAAACAAAAATTTTAACTAAGATGAAACTGGAAACTTTTCTGTTGTTCAAATTAGTCTGTCATCTCTCTGTTTAGGTGAAGTCGTTTGAAAGTCAACGTATCCCTAAAATTTAGTTTCAATCCGATTTTTGAGTACTCAGCATTTATTAGCTGGTTTTAGAAAGTGGATACAGATACTAGAGGCCCAAAAGTCACACTTGATGCAACCGAGACCGCTGTGAAGTTCACAACAGGAATCAACGAGCTCTTAAGTGTGCAACTTCCTGTTTCAGAAATAAGGCAGGTTGTGGTTTCCTGTTTTTGCTGTTTAGTTGTTCAGACAGGCTTTTTAAAGAGAAAATGTAGTATTTAATTTAGAGTCAAAAAAGATGTACTAATGCACGGGTGGGATTTTATTGTACCCACTGGGATCTGACTGGATCTTGAAATGTAGGCTAACATATTACTTTTCTCCACACATGTGGCCTTGGTGAATAAATTAGAGGTAGAGATTATTTTGATGAAAGATTACAAAGAAAAACAGACAAACTAACTAACACACACACACACACTTACTGATAAAGGTGGCATTCCGTCATCTTCCACAGTTACAGTGAGTGTGTACTGCTGCTGTTTTTCTCTGTCAGGAGGTGACGGTCGGGTCACTATCTCTCCTGTCATACGGTCCATTCTGAAGGTCAGGTCCTGGTTACCGCCGGTGATGTAGTACGACAGCATGGCATTGGGTCCAATGTCCCGATCCGTCGCTACAACACGCAGGACAGATGTACCGCCACCCACATTCTAAAACACACACATACGCCCACTGTTATTTTATATTATAATACATCATTAGTTTAGATTTTTGTCTACTTTTTTTGCCTATAAGCTAACCAGGTTTTATTCTGATTATATTTCTTTCTTTTGACGTGTCACATGCAGACAATTGAATGATTAACACCCAGAATCTGCGATGCTGATATCACTGGTTTGAGGTGCTGTGGTTCTGACCTCACTGACGCTGACGTTGTACCCACGAGGGCTCTGCAGCACGGGAGGGTTATCGTTCTCATCCAAAATATTCACCGTGAGCGACACATCTGTGAACCTCGGAGGGGAACCGTTATCCGTCGCCCGCACCTGATCCAAACACATTAACACACACACGAATCCACGTGGACATCAGTAAACAAACACCCATATACCTCAGAACTAATTATGCAAAACGTACTATATTTAACTTTACAAGGAAACATGTACAAAGTCACGCAACACACTGTGACCATGCATGGCTCTGTCTGGACATTTTCTTATTCAAAGTGAGATGCCTTCATGTGTACTTCCTAGACAGACATGCCTTAAAAAGCAGCATCAGTGCATAGTCCATTTTTAATTAGATGAATTCAACAGTAATATTGATAAAATGATTACAATTTAAATAACTGTTTTCTATTTGAATATATTTTAAAATGTAGTTTATTCCTGTGATGCAAAGCTGAATTTTCACCAGTCTTCAATATCACATGATCCTCCAGAAATCAGTTTAATATCTTGATTTGCTGCTCTAGAGACATTTCTTGTGCTGCTTAAAACAGTAAAACAGTTGTGCTGCTTAATGTTCCTGTGGAAAGCATAATGTATTTTTTTTCTCAGGAATCTTTGATGAATAGAAATGTAATGAATCCTTGCTAAATAAAAATTTTAATTTCTTTGAAAACAAAATCCTACTAACCCCTACTGAAACTTTTGAACTGTAATGTATATGTCTAATATAACATGCCTTTTAAAAACTAGGGAGCATGCGTATGATATAAAATGTTGTCTAGGAAATCTAGGAGTTTTTGTAAAGAGCCATTGCATGTGTAGTGTTTCTCTCTCACTTTAAGCAGGTAACGGTCAACAGCTTCACGGTCCAGACGGGCGTTCAAGTAAACCTCTCCATACGTATTATTGGCTGTGTTGATCTTAAACACGTCCTGCATGTTCCCTGCGATCAAGGTGAAATTCACCTGAAGGAGACAAGAGGGTGACGGAGGCGGGGTTTCGAATGAATGACAACTCATTCAACAGTGTTTTGAATATTTATCTCCCTCACCAGTCCATTTCTTCCAGCGTCTTTGTCCCGTGCCAACACGATAGCAACTCTCTGGCCAATGGGTGTGTCCTCTGGAATAGCCACTGACAAATCCGAAGTGATGTCAAACTCTGGGCTGTTGTCATTCTCATCAAGAATGGTGATTGACACCTGTCAAAAGAACAGAGTGATTGAAAATGAGATGCTTTTCTGATAGCATATAACATTTGTTGCATTAAAAATGTACTTAAAATAATTAAAAATCACTTACCTTCTACAAATGTGCATCAAGAAGGAAATCAGAAAAAAATAATTACACAGGTTAAATTACATGTTTATATAGTATATCAAAATCATATTGTCATATACATTTCACATCACTGTCATATTAGCTACTGGATACAAAGTTTACAGACATTCATTTTTAAAGGAATAGTTCCCCACAAAAGGAAAATTTGCTGAAAATGTACTCAGGCGATCCAAGATGTAGATGAATTAGTTTCTTCCTTCAGAGAAATTTAGCATTACACCACTTGTTCATCAATGGATCATCTGCAGTGAATGGGTGCCGTCAGAACGAGAGTCCAAACAGCTGATAAAAACATCACAATAATCCACAAGTAATCCACACGTCTTTAGAAAAAAATCCATCATCAAGGCATTATAGCTTCTGACTATAATCCATAATAACGCTTCCTCCAGTGAAAAAGTCCATCCGTTGTTGTCCTCTCACATCAAAATCAACTAACAGATTTGCTAAGAACTGTTTTTGCTAGTAAACAGTGTTTGATCTGTGCATATTTCTCTCCTGATTCAGATGAGATGACTTTTTCATTGGAGAAAGCAATATTATGGATAGAGGACTCACATTTTAGCCAGAAGCAACGGTTTGAAGTTAATGACTTTGATGGATTTGTTTATTACAAACACACAGCTTTTCACTTCACGACATTAAATGATGATTAAAATAAAATAAATGATGTGGATTACTTGTGGATTATATGTTTTTATCAGCGGTTTGGACTCTCATTCTGACGGCACCCATTCACTGCAGAGGATCCATTGGTGAGCAAGTGATGGAATGCTAAATTTATCCAAATCTGTTCCCATGAAGAGATAAACTCATCTACATCTTGAATGGCCTGAGGATGAGTACATTTTCAGCAATTTTTCATTTTTGGGTGAACTATTCCTTTAAAATGAACTTTAACAGATATGATTATATTGTGCTCAATTCAGGCTTCTCTACAGTATGCACTGAAGGCTTTAGTGAATTTGTCCTACAGATTGAACAGATCACGGAGGAACTCATTACCACAGTGGAGCCTCTCTTGGGTCCTCCATCATCGGCCACAACAGTGAGAGTGTATGAATCGCCTCTCTCTCTGTCCAACAGTCCCGTCACAGTTATACGGCCCTGTAGAGTGCACAAAATCCTTTATTATTTTACATAATCCATGTAGAGAAATTACCACATTTTTTTTTTTTAAAAGACTGAATTAAATTAAAATAATTTCCTCCAAAGTCCATAGTCGAGTAGGCTTAACTATGAAGTGGTTTTGGTTCACACCAAGCAGGATTTTTCTCTGTGACAAGCTGGTAGAAGAAACCCATTCTATCCCTGTGATCGGTTATTTTTTAAATTGATTTGTTTGTTTTTTCTGTTTGTTCACCCTGCAAGAAATTTATGTATTTATTTATTTGTTTGCTTGCTTGTTCACCCTGCAAGAAAACTGACCAATACAATTTAAGCTTTAGTGTAATGTCCTTACATTCCTTACCCAGACTCTGTAAAAGTTTTCCATATTTTTTTGCACTGATTTTGAGGAGAAAATCTGAACTGGATGGATTTAAGCACTGTAAATTTGTTAAACAGACCAGAGAAGGTACTACATTTGCATTGCTAGCTTTGCCAGAAACGGCAAAACTACGTGCTGTAGTCATTTACACGAGTCAAACACTGACCTCCTGACTAGTCGAATAGTACAAATAAGTCATCATCTTTGCCCTATCACATAGCGTTTTTCTTTTTGGGATGCGTTTGCATCACTTCGTTGCATCATGTTCACTTCAAGGACCTCTACAGCCCTGAAAGACAGCGGAGACCAGGACAACTAGATGAGCCCCAGATACAGATCCCCTGTAAAGACCTTGTCTCAGACGACCACCGGGACAAGACCACAGGAACCAGATGATTCCTCTGCACAATGTGACTTTGCTGCAGCCTGAAATTGAACTGCTGGTTTTGTCTGGCCAGAGGAGAACTGGCCCCCCGACTGAGCCTGGTTTCTCCCAAGGTTTTTTCTCCATTCTGTCACCGATGGAGTTTTGGTTCCTTGCCGCTGTCGCCTCTGGCTTGCTTAGTTGGGGACACTTCATTTCCAGCGATATCGTTGACTTGATTGCAAATGATTGCAAAGATACTATTTAAACTGAACTGAGCTGGATGATGACATCACTGAATTCAATGATGAACTGCCTTTAACTGAAAAATTAGTGTTTACTATTGTAATTTTGCATTATTGACACACTATTTTCCTAATTAATGCTGTTCAGTTGCTTTGACACAATCTGTATTGTTAAAAGCGCTATATAAATAAAGGTGACGTGACTTGACTTGACTTGACTTAAAATCGCCACACTCATTTCTTTTAAAATATAACCTGTCTATTATGTGTTCTCACCGTGACACCATCAATCTTAAAGAGCGCCAGGGCAGCAGGTGAGGTGTCAGGGTCGAAGCGGTACGTCAGCTGGTTCAGGTTATCGGCCGACTGCGCCTTCACCTGGACCACCTCTGTTCCCGTGGCGATGTTCTCCATCAGCGGTATTTCATAACCGGTTGATAGAAAGGCCACGGCTTCGTCCAGTTCATTGAGTAAAGTTACGTAGACACTGCAGTAGCTGCTGTGGAACGGTGGAGACTGATCTGTGGCTGAGACGTTCATTAAATAGCTGGTCTTGGTCTCGTAGTCCAAGTAATCCATTGTAGTTAGCAGACCCGTACTTACATCCACCTCAAACTTATGGTCAGAGCCAGAAACCAGAGCATACGCTACAGCGCCCCCATCACCTAAAAAGAGCGAGACAGCAAAAGTTTGGGATTAGTACGATTTTTCTTTGTGAAGGAAATGATTATTTTTTTAAGCATTAAATTGATAAAAGTGACAGTAAAAACATTTATAATGTTACAAAAGATTCATATTTCAAATTAATGCTATTCTTCAGAACTATATTCATCAAAGAATCCTGAAAAAAAAAAATGGATTCCACAAAAATTCAGCTTTGCATTAACAGAAATAAATTACATTTTAAAATACATAAAATAGGAAACAGTTATTTTGAATTGTAATAATATTTCACAATATTACTGTTTTTAATGTATTTTTCATCAAATAAAAGCACTTTGGTGAGCACAAGAGACAGACCCCAAACTTTTGAATGGCAGTGTATATATAGTTTTATTAAAAATATAAATGATATTAAATATATGTTTTTGATAATACCACTTATTGTACAAATAAATGCCCATAGTTAATTTCTGTGGGTGACAGATGCACCACTTAAAAATAAAATAAAGGAATAAATTATCAATCACATGAAGGAATAAATAAATGAAATAAAAAATACAACTGTAAATAAAAAATAAATAGACATATTTAAAACTATTTAAGTAATGTTTTAAATGTTTATTAATATTTAAATACTGCATTAAACATTATTTATCAATGTATTACTGTTACATTTGATTACTTGATTTTATTTTCAAGTGGCACTCCAATAGTCCTCCAATGTCGTTAGCTAACTATTTCAATAACAATCTTTATTTATATACAGTATCTACGGGACAGAACTCTAGCACACTGCACTCTGAGCCTGAGGCCTGTGAAGACGCAGATGGGTAGATGTCTGTCCAGCTTATGACAGGCTGGACATCCTCTATGAGGAAGTGAAAGAGGGAAGCAGTTACAGACACAAGCAGAAGTGCAACAGCAATGTTGTGATATTGTTTGGCATTAAGAACCAATGGAAAAATACAACACAGCTTGAGCTATGTTTGGTGTATGACACACTCCCACTTTAAAAAGATCCAAATAAATGAGAAGTGTTATGAACACACAACAACAGCAATCATAGATGTTCCTATGAGACACATTTACCTCCTCCTCTGTGAACTAGTCTGGTCCACAAACACTTACAAAGGTCAAGAAGAGAGTGTTTGCACAGGCTTGTGGGACGATTGTGTTGTGTACCTGTGTCGGGGTCTGTAGCTCGGACCACTACCACAGATGTACCAATCCCAGCAGTCTCTCTGAGCCCCAGGCGATTGTACTGCGACTGAGTGAAGACTGGAGACTCGTCATTCACGTCCTCCACATACACAATCACCTACAGACACAAACTCACAATCACAGTCTGATTCACACACACATTATATTCAGCACTTGTCTTTAATGACATTTATTTAAAAAATGACGTTTATAGCTAGAATTAATACAATGTGAAGGCTATTAAACAATGCTAACTAATAGTTAAATAACTATGCACAGTAGGCATTGTTTTAGCAACCTCTATTCTGATATGCAAAGCACACGTCACCTTATAATCAGTTCCTGATGGATTAAATCAGGTCCTTTTTCATCACTGAACATCCCTTTTTACTTGGAAATGTGTCACATTATGAAGCAAAATGAGTTGCAAACTTGAATAAGTAGCTTTAAAAGTAATTTTCTAGGGAATGTTATATTATTTTTCACACACACAAACACACCCTGACAGAGCTGCGCATGCTGCCCTGGTCACTGTTATAGGCCTCCACCTCCAGCACATGAGAGCTACGTGTCTCTCGGTTCAGAGCCGCAGTTCCTCTGCTGATGAGTCCAGACAGACTGTCCACATTAAACTGACCATTGTTGCCTGCAGATAACAAATCACACACACATGAGCCATACTCTGAAATAGTACATCACATAAAGGCTGAGGTTGAAAACAATAGTGCTAATTTATGCTTCTTACAAAATTTTTCTCTATTGGTCTAACATGTCAAATAGAGTCATATATTTCTAAAAGAAAATAGTTAATATTGTCTGCATTATGCCAATATTTTTATGACAATTAAGCACATTTTTATGGATGCCAGTTTCCACCGAATACAGAAAAAAAAAGTTAGAAAAAATTCTGATTCGTGAGATATAAACTCAGAATAGCAAGATATAAACTCACAATTGTAAAAAGTCAAAATTCTGTTTGACTGAGTGTACATATCGCAAATCTGACTTTTTTTCTCTGAATTCCAAGTTCTGAGACATTGCACATCTCGCAATTGTTTTTTTTTTCTGTCACAGATTAAAAAATAAAATTAGTAATTTTTTTCCCCACAATTTCTAATTTATATCTCAAAATTCTGACTTTTCTTCTCGGAATTATGAATTTATATCTCGCAATTCTGAATGATATTTTGCAATTCTGAGAAAAAAAGTCAGATTTGTGAGATATATAATATATATACTCAGAATTGCGAGACAAAAATTTACAATTGCCTTTATTCATTTAATTTTTTTTAATCTGTGGTGGAAAAAAAGCTTCCATTCATTCTCCCCCAGTGCTTACAGTATGCCACAGATGACTGAAAATGCTCAAAATATGACTGAAAATACTGAAAATATTCCTATACAAAGTTTTTTTTATATGTGACCCTGGACCACAAAACCAGTCGCTGGGGTATTTGTAGCAATAGCCAAAAATACATTGTATGGGTCAAAATGATTGATTTTTCTTTTATGCCAAAAATCATTAGGACATTAAGTAAAGATAATGTTCCATGAAGATATTTTGTAAATTTCCTACTGTAAATATATTAAAACTTAATTTTTGATTAGTAATATGCATTGCTAAGAACTTCATTTGGACAATTTTAAAGGCGATTTTCTCAATATTTAGATTTTTTTGCACCCTCAGATTCCAGATTTTCAAATAGTTGTATCTCGGCCAAATATTGTCCTATTGTCCTAACAAACCATACATCAATGGAAAGCTTATTTATTCAGCTTTCAGATGATGTATACATCTCAATTTCGAAAAATTGACCCTTATGACTGGTTTTGTGGTCCAGGGTATTATATGGTATATTGTGCAACAGTGTTAGTTAGTTAGTGCAGTAGATTGTGGGAGTGCATCTGCGCAATGCATTGATGTGTGACATCAGGAAACAGGAAGAATAAATAGTTACCAGAGAGAATCCTGTACAGAACTCTTCCATTCTCCCCCTGATCTGCATCTGTGGCCTGAACCTGCAGACGGACATAACCACAAACACACATAACCACATCACGTACACACCCATGTACTACTAAATAATGAGAGTGAAAGTAACACTTAACACATTGCACACCCACACAAGCATAAACAATAATATATTATTACAATCAAACTCATAATCACACTACAATTGGACTCTTATTTTTACTGTCACAAGTGAAATGTGTCATTTCTTCATAACTAACAGCACAAAATAAAATGCAATATGTTTGTTTGGCTCGACCAATAGCGTGGGTTTGGGATGGGGCGATCTAATGACCAGTGGAAGACCGATCAAACCTAAAACTCCTTTAACTGCAGCCTGAAATGGCTTATTGCTTTTAAATGCAACATCAATATGATAAAAGACATTAATGTTCAATAAATAGTTACTTTTATTAATAACAATAATTGGAATAAATAATTCCAGTGAGTAATATAGTTCATTAGCTTAACTGCTGGCTGTTTATGGATGCTAAGCAATAGCAATTTGTTACATTAATATAGTATGTTCAATCACAAGTATGGCTTCAAATATGGCTTGTCTAATCAGAATTCAGAGTCAGAACTATTTTTGCAATTGCGTTTGGTGACACTAGTGGCCCAGAAATGAAACACTACACCTTTAAATGGTCGTCATGGCATGACTATCAACTCATATTGGCTTGAAAACACAAATACAACTTCAATTATCATATAAATCTCAGAAACAATGATCAGAAGTTGTTCCTGAATATATTTACACACATCAATTCATCATGTTAAGGAGTAAAACCATTTGGCGCACACTGAATGCATCCGTATATTAGTCAAATCCTACTGACAGTGAGGAGGACGGCCCCTCCTTCACTCATTAGCTTTATAAAAAGATGTAGAGGGGAGAAGAAAGAAAGCAGGGATCTAGGGGGGTCTCTTGGAGAGAGATGAATAGAACAGGCAGACCGGACCATACCATCACATGGGGGGTTAAAACTTGAGACTGAAAGTTTGGCTTAGAATGAGCGTTTAGTTCAAGAAGCACACTGCCATGGTCTGCTGATCGCAAAACATAGAGTGATTGATTTTGGGTTAGGTCTCTCTGAACGGATCTCAGCTGCATATATCCTGATCCCCATCTTCCAGGCATCTCCACGGGATTTTAATCAAGGGGAACTTTGGAGGAGTCACCAACCACATCCATCGCTAAAGGTAATGTTGAACCACAAAGAATAAACTGAAAAATAATTCTTATTCGATGAACCCCTGTTGCAAATGAATTGTGTTTTGGATGCTGGTGTCTATACCGGGCTTTTTCATTTTTGTTCTGCTGAGCGACACGGCTATGCTGGTCCACCAGCCCCAAACCTGCACTAACCAGCATAAACCGGCCTGGACAATCATTCAGCAGTGCCAAAACCATTTTGTTTTGCCATGATGTCAGTCATAAATTACATGGGACAGCAAGTTATGTTTGTATTACTGTAATTTACTAATTCATGGATATGCAGTCTAAAATCACAACACACTGTGTACACTACTGTTCAAAAGTTTATTTTTATTTCATTTATTTATTTTTTAAAATAAATTAATACTTTTTTTCAGCAAGGATGCAATAAATTCATTTTAAAAAGTGAAAGTAAAGACTATTAGATTGTTACAATTCTATTTCAAATTTATAAAAAACTTTTTTTTAACCAAAAAATGTATCACCGTTTCAACAAAAATATTAATCGTCACAACATTGATAATAATAAGAAACATTTCTTGAGCAGCAAATCTGCATATCAGAATGATTTCTAAAGGATCATGTGACACTGAAGACTGGAGTAATTATGCTGAAAACTCAGCTTTGCATCAAAGGAATAAATTAAATTTTAAAATATATCAAATAGAAAAGTTATTTTAAATTAAATTTGAAACAAAAACACAAATTAAAACAAAAAACTATTTCTATTCTGACTGTTCTCATTGAAATATATTTACAAAAATTCACTTTAAAATAGAAAAACTAATATTAGCTGCCTGCTTGAGCAAAGCCTAAATGTGATGAAGAGTGCATGAATACATTTCAGCAGATCCATACAGTGGTAACTAATGAAGTGTTTCACTAACAATAGTTCTCGTCTGAGTGGCCTTTTCAGCCTGTTTGTGGCATTTAAGATGAAGAATAATTTCATGTCTCAATGTGTTTTCAAGTCACACTCTGTGTGCTCAGAATTTAACATGCTGACATTTAGGAGCAGAGAGGCAGAGTAATTGGTGACTTGGGTGCTACACTGTGTGTGTGTGTGTGTGTGTGTGTGTGTGTGTGTGCGCGTGTGTGTTTCAGATGGATTGAGAGTTATTTTAACAGACCCAAATTAGCTTTCAAAAAAATAAAAAATAAAACCAACTGACCACATTTCTCATCTGACTGCTCACTTAGTGGGGCACCAACATTTTTAATGTCAAATGCCATTTCAAATGTGTGTTTATGGGAGCGGTGTAGACCAGAAACATACTGTTCTCGACATAAGTACTAAAAAAAAAACAGATGCATAAATGCATTTATCTGTTTGTACATAATTAACATGTAAGGAGCACATCCTGCTCCTGGAGGGTCAATGTCCTGCAGAGTTCAGCTCCAACCTGCCCGAAACATACTTGCCTGGAAGATTCTAGTGATCCTGAAGACCTTGATTAGCTGATTCAGACATTTAAATGGGGTTGGAACTAAACTCTGCAGGACTGTGGTCCTCCAGGATCAAGACTGGACAACCACTGCTACTGTGATAGTATGTTTAACTCTAACTTGCATACACTGCGAAAAAATGACTTCTTAGTTTGTGTGTGTGTGTGTGTGTGTGTGTGTGTGTGTGTGCGCGTGTGTGTTTCAGATGGATTGAGAGTTATTTTAACAGACCCAAATTAGCTTTCAAAAAAATAAAAAATAAAACCAACTGACCACATTTCACATCTGACTGCTCACTTAGTGGGGCACCAACATTTTTAATGTCAAATGCCATTTCAAATGTGTGTTTATGGGAGCGGTGTAGACCAGAAACATACTGTTCTCGACATAAGTAGTAAAAAAAAACAGATGCATGAATGCATTTATCTGTTTGTACATAATTAACATGTAAGGAGCACATCCTGCTCCTGGAGGGTCAATGTCCTGCAGAGTTCAGCTCCAACCTGCCCGAAACATACTTGCCTGGAAGATTCTAGTGATCCTGAAGACCTTGATTAGCTGATTCAGACATTTAAATGGGGTTGGAACTAAACTCTGCAGGACTGTGGTCCTCCAGGATCAAGACTGGACAACCACTGCTACTGTGATAGTATGTTTAACTCTAACTTGCATACACTGCGAAAAAATGACTTCTTAGTTAGTGTTTAATTAGTCTTTTTCCATTAAAAATACCTTTAAAAGACCTTAAAACAAGATAAATGTATATGCCTTATATTATATTAATAAGAGTGTGAGACAAAATGCAATTGCATTTTTGCCTTATTTTTTCACTTATTTTTAAATTTTGCCAGTGCAAGACACACACACACACACACTCAAAAAAAAAAGAAGCTCATATTAAAGACACTTTCACTGAAGGCAAGCCTTAATATCTTATGCAGGTCTGTTTCTCAAGTAAATTTATTATGTATTAAGGATTGTTAAATATTTTGACTGGAAATTGAGACAAATAACTTTCTGCAGTTCAGACAGATTCCCCTCCAGCTGTAGCTCAGCCATTACAATAGTTGATCTGCAAAAGCAAAATGACGGTGAAAGATGATGTTGAGAAGCGAGAATGCTATGCATATTTGTGTTGCTCTATGAATTGCTGTATGGCACATTTCCAAACACAACAATGCACGCAATTGTAGGTGCAGCTAGAAGTGCTTGTGTTTATGCACTTGTGTACATTTTCCTGACCTTAGAGTCTGTGTGTGTGTGTGTGTGTGTGTGTGTGTGTGTGTGTTAGAGAAAGAGAGAGAGTAAGAGACTCTCGCTAATCTGTAATCAATATAGTGCAATATAAATCCACTATACTTTGACCTTTCTTGACATTTCTTTAGAGAAATCGCTCAGTCATTCTGATAGTCTTGCAGAGTAGCGCTCGGAGCAGCATGTGTAGAGCTGCTAGATGGTGATGATGATAAGGTGTGTGTAGGTGTGCAATCCCACCACCACAAACCACTGCTCTGTACCTAGAGGAAAATGTGCTCAGATGTTGCTCTGTCACTGCTCAGGAGACTTCATGACCTGTTTCATTTCATGTTACTCCTACAAATCCTGACGCTATACAGTATTGATACTAAGGTCTTTTTTTTTGGCCCAAAAAAAAAAAAGATTCCCCTTGTGAGAATGAAACGCATACTTGAATTGCATAATAATTTGGTTTACGACACATTTCGGACCACTATGACACATATAAGATCGTAGCGCTTGCGCTCACATACTTGCGAAGATGTTTTAGGCCTTTGGTTCAAAATAAAGTGTCCCTGTACTCTCCATCTCTTTGCCGCCTAAGAGAAACAACTGAGATATTAAAGAGATTTTTTCTTTTTAAGCATGCATACACACACACACACACACCTGTCAACCACATCCTGGCATCTTGTATGCATCTTGCTCAAGCACACATTCACACTTTTGCACAAGCTTGAACCCAGAGGATCACAAAAACACCTACATCTTTACTATAAACACGCTCCACTTAACCCAGATTTAACTCTTCCTGTTTTGCATCTCTACAGATCCAGGCTGACATGGATGTTTCCTTCAATCTGTCCCTCTCTAATCTCTCACTTCCGGTCTCCCCGACGTCTCCACCTCTGGATCTTCACCATCCCCTCACGACCATCATAATCATCATGTGTCTCTTCGTTCTATTCGGGGGCTTTGTGACCTTTCTAGCGGTGGGCTGCCCGTCAGGAGGGTCCTGGGGTGTGGATGGGGACTGCGGTCCGGCAGACGGTTTCTCGTGTGGCCAGACTCTGTCCAGCGAGCCCCAGCTGAAGCTCTGGAAGCGTTTGGGCTCGATGAGGCAGTCATTTTCCTCCACGCCGGCCTTCAGAAGACCCATTCAGCCATACGTAGCCCAGAGCAGGAAGCAATCAGGGTCGATGTCGCCCGCAGGGTCAAAGACAAACGACTCCCACACATATATTACTATACCGGCTCTGCTGCAGTATTCCACCGAGATATAAGTTCTGTTGCATCACCTAGTGAGCTGTCTTGCTATCTAGTATCTACATAGGCAGCAGCCTTCTAAGTGATTAGAAGATGATTGATTTAAAGTGCATTTCATAGGCAACAACTATGTACGCCACAGGAAACTTGACTCCAAATTGATTTCAAAAGAGTTGTCAGCTTGTTGCTAAGCTTGTGATGTGATTCTCTAATAAGCACAAAAATGCATAGCAAGCAAATATGAAATAAAAACGATTTCATCGAATTTAAACTGACTATTTCATCTGTAATTCCATGTATTGAATTAAATGTATTTAGAATTGGCATTTCTATCCATTTGTCTGCCATTGTCACTGAGCTCAATGCATTGCATTCTGGGATTACTGTACCTCTTCCATGAAGGATGCATGTGAAGCTTACTTATATATATATATATATATATATATATTTCTAAAATAACACTGGATGCTGCTTCAGAATCTTAAACAGCCAGAAACCATGTTATTCATATATAATCCATGCTAACAGATAACACTCTCCATGTGTGTGTTAAAACTTTATGGAAACAGTATTCACATCTGGGGCCGGTTGCATAAAAGGTTTAGACTAGTCTTAAAAGTTAGTCATCTAATTTTGTTCTTTAAGACTGGTCAAAATTTGTAAAATTCAGTTACATAAAAATGTAGATTAGTCTAAGCTGAATCCAAAATATAAGACTGATTACCCCTTGGTTAACTGCTAGTTGGTCAAACTGGCTCTTAAGACACGGTCTTAACATAGAGGCTAAGTTTATGCAACTGGCCCCTGGAGTGTGTCTATAAGTGCACATACATACACAATCACTGCAAACATGAGAACAGAAACTGTGACCCCAGCTATCAGCACTGACAGAGACAAGCCAACTCATTTCATTCACCATTCACACCAAACAAAACAAGACGTGACTCAACAATCCAACCATTCGGTGGCCGCAACTCTATAAACAGCTGGACATTGCCTACATCACATTGCTGTGGAGACTAACAGACATGACCTGGATGAGCAAAGACCAGGTGCTTTCTGAGTAATGGTGGCCATTCTGACTGGGCATTAACAACATTTCTATTTATTTAGAGGAAATTCTGATTCATTTGCACGTATGTAGCCCCAAGAGTATGTGTACACTTAAAGCACACTTAAAAATGCCTGAATGTCACAGCATTAGAAACCAAAACAGCAAACCACTTTGCATTCATAGACAAATTGTGGTAGAACTGGTGCTCACATTAACTACTGGCTTATTCTACGGATTTGACCAGTGTTGGGTAAGTTACTCTAAAAAGGTAATTAATTACTAGCTACAAATGACATTTTCAACAGTTTAATTAGATTAATGTACTAAATACTCTCTCTAAAAAAGTATTGCATTACTTATTACTTTCTAAATGCCATATCAATTATTAATTAGTATAAATTAATAATACAAAATTGCATAATTACTCTTGAACTGACCAAAGCATTTAAAGGGAGAAGTTTACATTAAAATCCACAATTGATTAATATAAAATTGTTCTATAGTCTATACAGTATTTAATGCAATAACATAGGAAGTAACTGTAATTATATTACAGAAAATTAAGAGTAATCCCTTACTTTACTTTTTCAAGGAAAAGTAATTTGAGTAATTTATTACTTAGTAATGCAGTACACCCAACACTGTGTTTGACAGCCATAAAATCTTTATTTTGAACAGTATATCTATTGTTTTATCATTTAAAACTTATTTTTGTAAAATGTTTTGCTGGAAAAAAGTGTGTTTGTGTCATCTTAAAATACTGTACTTGTGACTTTTAGTGTTTTTTAAAGTGTGCTTTAAGTGTCCAAATTAAATTTTTACTTTTTTCAAATAACTGTTGTTGTGCCACTGTGACTCCGGTTTACTCCGCAACAGCAAACTCATGCAAACTAAAACAAAGCTTTGCATATTAAAGATGGAATATTCCCCAAACTAACTTCAATAACAGTTCAATATCAACTTCAACATATGGAAAGAGGTTAAAAGCCCTTTGAAAATGAAAACGCCCTTTATTTAGTCATCTGAAATGATTCTGCTGGCTTTCTAGGACTTTTAAAGCGTCGTCATGGTTACCCTATTATGGTATTTGTTGCCAGCCTAGAGATTGTCATGGTTTTCCAGCACAGCAGAACATGACCTCACAGAAAACCACTCAAAACGTGATAATGCTACCATTGTTACAGACAAACACAATGTAACAATCATACACCCTCATGTGCTACTTCATAATACCAGTATTGTGATAGTTCTGCTGTTGTTTATTGGAATAAAAAGTATATATATATATATATATATATCCATGAGCATTCTTTTTATATATCAAATTTTAGCAAATGGCTGCAATATAACAAAGAGTGAAAAATGTAAGGGGGTCTGAATACTTTCCGTACCCACTGTATATATATATATATCCATGAGCATTCTTTTTATATATCAGAGTGAATTGTGAATATGAGCATGTGTACCTGTAATATACTAGTTCCTCTGGGTATGTTCTCCAGGACGCTGGTCTCATAGCTGTTCTGGAGGAATATAGGCCTGTTGTCATTGACGTCCAGCACCTCCACATATACTGTAGCTGTTCCTGTCCTCCGACTTCCCGCTGGACCATTATCTATGGAGAAAACCATCAACAGTCTGGCCAATACAGTTAGGAAATCCTGCTCGCAGTACAAATAAAATACAGTTCAAAGATCAAGCTTGACCAATTAATTTCTACAATGTTTCCAGTTGTTCAGGATGATTGGATAAGGATTTTTGGTAACACTTTATATTAGGGAACACAAATTAAATATTAAACTATTAAAGAGTTTCCCCTCAATAAACTTATTGATAGTAAGTAAGGAAGTTGTTGTAGTAGTCATGTTTAGGTATTGGGTAGAGTTAAGGGGTCTAGAATATGGTCATGCAGAATAAGGCATTAATATGTGCTTTAGAAGTACAGATAATATGCTAGGAATATTCATGTTAATAAGCAACTAGTTAATCGTGAATAGTGTTCCCTAATCTAAAGTGTTACTGGATTTTTTACAATTATTTTACATAGATTAGACTCAAGAAAAGCTGGTATCCTAGCTGGAATGTTTTAGTATACTTAAAACGAAATTATATAATTATATTTTATTTTTCTAATTTATATTATATGCATTTTAATTGATATTATACCTGATATTTATAGGTTTTGCATGATCGTGGGAACCCTGATAGCAACATAAAAACACTGCCACAATACAGTCTTTATGACTCATATCTTCACTGGTCCTACATGGTAGTCATTTTTAAATAAACATTAGTTGTACCAAGCAACAGCATACCATCTGACTGTGCTAAAACTGGCCTGAGCCACATACAAAAGACCCACAGAAGACAAGCCTTGACTCGCTTTGGCTTACCAAATTCACTGGTATTGGTGTAAAATGTGTTAAGACAGAGAACTAAAACAATAAGATAAAGTAAAATAATTAGCTAAAATTAATATATGTTATCTCGACCAAATATTGTCCTATCATAACAAACCATACATCAATGGAAAGCTTATTTATTCAGCTTTCAGATGATTGACACTTAAGACTTTATTATTTATTTAAAAAAAAATTTTTAATCATGACAACTCTCTGAACATTTTAGCATGGTGATGGATATGACAATGTTAATGTATTTGGTCTTGGCGGAACAGATCTGCTACGCTGCTGCTGAATTGCTGCTGCTGTTGGTTATTGCTGTAGTTGTAGATTATTGCTGCTGCTGCAAGCAAGTACAGGAACTTGCTACTGCCAATGCATACGGCGATACGGTGCCGTGAATATTTAAGACATACTGCTGCTGCACAAATAGCATATAAAATAACCCGTAGCAGATCTATACAGGTGGAGCTGTGGGAGGTGGAGGGTTTCAGAGAACTCTAAAAGCGCGCTGCAGGAATCTCTAGTGAATGCTAGCCAGCCATATAAATGCAAGGCAGTAAGCTCATTGGCTGCATATGCAGCATGAACCAATCAGATTGTGCCCAGTCGTTTAACTCTCTGAATATCATCAGTTACGTTAACAACCCATCAGCCTGCGCCATCTAGAGTTTCATGACTAAACTACTCATTATGTTAAAAATGTTAAAAATACATTTTTGTATGTAAAATGACTTGGAAGAGTCTTTGTGCTTGAATCACTGTAAAAAATAAATATTCCCAGAGTCATGTGTTCTGGTCTTCCAAAACATGCATTTCATTTCATCGTAATTATCATTTATAATCAGATAAGAATAATGATGTATTTGACATAATACTTGTATTGAAAAAAGTGGCCAGCATATTTTAGTTGAAACTCATTAAACAGGTATTAGAACAGCTGCAGTATTTCTAAATGCACTCAAGTCAAACAGGAAACCACAACACTTGCTTTAAACTCAAAGTCATTTAGACAGGAAGCTGCAGCAGATCATACCACATGTGCACGCATACATGCATAACCAGTTGCTTTCTATATGAAACTCACCAATCGCTTCAATCACTAGCCTGTACAAGGCCTGAGTCTCGCGGTCCAGACCCACCACAGTCCGTACTATTCCAGTCCGGAAACCCACACTAAACGTTCCATCTTGGTTCCCAGCTATAGGGACACACAAAGACAGACTAAGAAATCACACATCTCAGCTCTGTTCTAAATCTCTTGTGTGCTGCCTCAAAAGACATCATACTAACTATAATAGAACCTCATAACTGACTGATTTTGAATGTGCTAGTATTGTGTTGTCATACAAACAGCATTCCTCAATTGATTTCAATGGAGTTTGGCATTAGCATGTTGCTATGATAATGATGTAGTGCTGTTCTAATGAGCATAAAATACACAACACACAAATATTTGGCAAAACAGTGAAATCTATTTAACTACACCTAAACACTTTTCGCAAAGATAATAATGTGGTACTCTTCTAATGAGCATAAAATACGTATATTATATAATATATTTGGTAAAAATTGTGAATTTTTTTAATTTGAGGTAATGATGTACAAATACACAGTACACGCAATTATTTAATAAATTAGTGAATTTTTAACCAATTCAACTATATTTAAATAGTTTTCATGAAGATTCTTATAAACTTAAAATACATAGCACACGCAAATATTGTATAAAATAGCGCTTTTTTAATTGATTTAACAAATACTTTTTGCAAAAATAATGATGTGGTAATCTTCTAATAAGCATAACACATGGCACACAAAAATATTTGGTAAATTAGTGTTTCAAATATATATTTTTTAACTATATTAAAATACTTCTCATGAAGATAATTACTTTTCTAATAAGCATAAAATATGTAGCAAAAAATAAGCATAAAATATCACTAACATATATTGACTAAATTAGTGAAATTTTAACCAATTTAACTATATTAAAATATTTTTTGTAAAGATAATTATATGGTAATTTTCTAATAAACATAAAATACAAATCACACACACATATTTGGTAAAGTAGTCAATTTTTAACCAATTTAACTATACTTGAATTCCTTTTGTGAAGATAACGTTGCTCTTCTAATAAGCAGATAATACATAGCACACAAATATTTGGTAAATAGTGATTTTTAACCAATTTAAGTATACTTTTCGTGAAGATAATAATGTAAAACATTTCTAATAAGCTCAAAATACATAGCACACAAATATTTAGTAAATTAGTGAATTTTATTTAGTAAATTAGTAAATACTTTTTGCAAAGATAATGAAGTAGTGCTCTTCTAATAAGCATAAAATATATAGCACAACACAAATATTTGGTAAAACTGTGAATTTTTAAGCAATTTAACTACATGAATATACTTTTCCCTTCCGAATGTGCTTCATCTGTCACTTAAAATAATCTTTTCCCCACTGAGCTCATCGCAATGCATCACAATTCTTCTTAAAATGCTGTCTACTGTATGTAGGCCGCTCACTGGATTTTGGAACAGAGCCTTAGCTTCACATCTGTTGACAGCAGACCCAACCAAAATCCCACAGTGTTGCTCCATCAGCACAAACTCACTCGCACCCTCTGATCTGTGACCTTCTGCACTCTGACCTGTGATAAAATAGCTGAGCTCTGAGTTAAGACCCGCGTCATTATCCGTGCAGTTCAGTCTGACCACCACATAGTCACGGGGCACGTTTTCATCCAACGATACGTTATACATGCTGGGGAAGAAGGTTGGCGTCTCATCATTCATGTCCAAAACTGCACAGAAAGAGTGACAGACATCAAGATGATGTAGCATTTGCATCTAAACACAGCGGGGCAGTGATCCTGCTATGTACCTGTGATAGTGAGAGTACTCGTGGAAGTTCGAGGAAACTGGTCTGCGTCATACGCAATAATCCTCAGATAATACTGGCCGATCTGCTCGCGGTCCAGCACTGCGGTGGAAACCAGGACCCCTGTGGTGGTGTTGAGCCTGAAGTCCAGCCGTGGCATCCCCATCTGAAGCGCCATGGTTACCGCACCATTTTCACCTTCATCAGGGTCCTGCACCTGCACCTGAGGGAGGAAACCAGCGGGGGGCAGCAGAGCACAGGACAGTTTCATTACAAGAACTTCACTAGAAGTTGGCATTAAATCAAAGATGACCCCAAAAGTGGTACAAGACTCCTCAGATTTTTATGCCAAGTTGATTTTGAGTGCAAAAAGTGTTCCAAAGTTTTTACTGATAAGATATTTTGGTCCCACTTTATTTACATATGTGTAGTTACACAAACATTACAGCTGTAGATACTATGTAACAATGTGTACTTACACTGTGGTTACATACTACGTACACATCTAGTTACTATGTAAGTACACAGGTATTAGGGCCACTTAATATAAAGTAGGACCAAAAAACTCACTGACCCAAACTTTTGAACTGTAATGTAACTAAACGTAAGCAAAGATTTATAATAAAAATAATATTTATGATCATTCTATGTAAGGCTGAAAGGATGACTTTCCCCTACAAAGCGAGTTATTGACAAAATGTCAAATCCACTCCTTTCCATAAAGTTAAAATGCCTGGAGATCTCTGGCTGTCAAGTTAAGTAGCAGTTTTGCTTGGTTTATTTCAAAAACACATTTTAATATCAGAATTTGAACCCAGGTCCCCTTGCATACTAAATGAAAAGCCGGTCTTGTTGAATATTTAATCAGTGCACTCCTGGTCCTTGTAGAGACTTCAACCAATCAAATGCTAACCCTGAACACAGATGATCCAATGGGAAGCCCCTCTGGTACTTCAGCGACAAATGGGAGGTTGATAAAGGCAGGATCATTATCGTTGAGGTCCAGGAGGTTCACATACACTGTAGCGCTGGCTGAAGAGCGCAGTGGAGGCGTCCCAACTAAGGAGGGCAGCACAACAGAGAGAATACTTATATACTTTACTGCACAACTTCTTTGAGTTTTCTCTAGTCATTAGATCCACTGAGGGGGAAGAAAATCTTAATACTGAAATGTCAGTTTATATTGTCAAACACAACTCAGACTAATCCTCAAAACAGACTAATTGAGGAAGAAGCAAACATTTTGGTGTGACAGACAAAACAATTGGAATGGAGTATTAGCCACGAGTAAGTGAAATGATTAATAATAATATTGGGATGATATATGTTTCAGTTTCTGGATATCTGGGAATATATGAATTTTGAAAAAAAAAAAAAAAGATTTTTGCCTAAATATGTATCAGAATCCGTAAGTCTGATCAAATAATGGGTAAAAAAACATGACAAAAAGAGATGATTACTATTAATTCTGGTTAATTAAAAGTTTGTGAAAAGTCAATATATATAAATAAAATCTCTGTATTTACTTTCACTTTTGATAAATGTAGCGCATTTAATACAATATAACACCTTGCTTAATAAAAATATGAATTTATTTGACTACTATTGAACGGTAGTGTATGTAATACAGAAAGTTTGCATACTGCAATTGGTAAGACCATTATGCTAGCATGATATTCTGAACACAGACTAGACAGGCTAGATGGTCCAGAAATAAAGAAACTGAAAGTTGGCGACTGTAAAATTCTTTTTATTGTGACCTCAGAGAGAGAGAGTGAGGCATTATGGGACAGGTGAGAGTTGCTTACGGTCGGTAGCAGAGACAATGATGGTCCTCATAAGCTGTGCGGAGCGGGCGTTCTGACTCTCTCGGTCCAGCACCGCCCCACTGGTGCGGATCTTCCCGGTGTTGCGGTTGATGGTGTAAAAGGGGTTCCCTGGATTTATAGAGTAGACCACCATCCCATTATCACCATAATCAGGGTCCACCGCTAATACCTGCGCAGAGAAAAATAAAAATTAGTCTTAAGGCACAAAACAGAGTCCTGAGGCGCAGAAATTAAATCACACCAAACCTCTCCCTACAGAACAGCATGATGGGAGATTTATGCACCGGGCATAACTGTCTAAAACCCTGGCTGTTTTTTTTTAAAGAGCCAATCAATTATTCACAGTGCTGGTGGAGAAGCACTGAAAATCACTTAATTGGTCATTAGAGAACAAAGGATCTGTAGGTCTTTAATTATTAAAACAGGAAGGACCAGACAACTGTGTTCTCCATTGATTAGAGGGAGTTTAAACAGATGATGTACAGCATGGGTCTAATGTAAAGTTTATCTAATTGATTTGAACTCTGAGGGGGACATTTCACACACGCATTTACTCAGGCATGTTTACAGACAATTTTAAAGGCGATATATGTGATGTTGCAATGTTAAAATGTGTTCTATCCGATTCCCCTGAAAAGTTTGAAACACTGCAGCGTTTTCAAAACACTGCAACAAGGAGATGCATTGCATAAAGTCCACTTTGCTTTTTTAAGGACATATCCAATGACAAGGGGCTGTCAAGCTTCATAACTTATAAAAAGCACCATATAATAAAAGTATTCCATATGACCTGTATTTAAAGTCTTCTGAAGTCACATAAAAGCTGTGTGAGAAACAGACTGAAATTTAAACTGTGATTCCATGAAAATAGTCTCTTATGTTGTATACACTACCATTAAAAAATCTGGGGTCAAAGAAAGAAACTTGGGAAAGAAAATCAGCAGGGATGCATGAAATTGATCAAAAATGACAGCAAAGACATTTGTAATTAGGGCTGGGCAAAAAAAAAATCTATTTTTCGATTAATCGTTTTTTAAAATGACTCGATTCGATATCGATTCTCAAAAGCTGCGAAATGACCTTGCGCGATGTTACAACAGAAAGCCTGTCATTCATTCAGCGCTTATCATGGCCATACGCGTGATTCGCAATGCTCAGGTGAAATGCTATAGTAATACTATAAATCTGCGGAAGCATTTGATATCACGCATAAGGCGCCATGATTTCCGCAATAAATGAATGACGGATGGGCGGTGCAGTTTTGTTTACTACACACATACTAAAGAGCGGATGACGCTCGCGGTGTTTTCAGCTTCTGCCGTCTCACTATATGATGATATGAACACGAATGTCATCTCCAGCTGCTCTGAGAGTCACTTCATTAGCATTTTAGCGTTTCATTTGAGAAATCTACCGTCATATCACATACACAGCAGCTGCAAGTTCTTCACGGCAACCCGTCAAAATAAAAGTTCAGTTTAAAAAGGAATAATCACATCTGTTTTCTTTTTAATTTTAATAGTAAACCTCTGTTGTGCAGCACTTTGTTTGCCTTCATCTGATTTCCAGAAAAATTAAGAACATTTTATAGGGCCCTACTATTGTTTAAAAAGGACCCTATACAAAAAAAAAAAGAATAGGTTTAAAATACAGGCATGTGGTTCTTATTTTCTTTTTTTTAATTCACCATTTGTAAACTGATGTTTACTGTTCATTTTTTAGAAATATCAATAGCATTTGTATTAAAACTATATTCACTGAATGTAATCAAAAAATCGAGAATCGAATCGAATCGAGAGCTTGCGAATTGAAATCGAATCGGGACATCTGAATCGATACCCAGCCCTATTTGTAATGTTACAAAAGATTTATATTTCAAATAAATGCAGTTATTTTGAACTTTCTGTCCATCAAAGAATCATTTCTGAAGGGTCATGTGACACTGAAGACTGGAGTAATGGCTGCTAAATATTTTATTTTACAGGAATAAATTACATTTTAAAATATACTCAGAGAAATTTTTTTATCTTAAAAATATTTCACAATATTACTGTTTTTACTGTATTTTTGATCAAATAAATTAAGCTTAATTGAGCTTCTTTCAAACATCTTACTGACCCCAAACTTTTGAACAGTAGTGTACAGTATGTTGTATGAAAAAGAATAGCTTGGGAATTCTGTTAAACATCAGATAAAAGGATTGACATGATAGAGAGTAAATGATGACGAAAACTGTGTTTTTTGATGAATTATTATTACTTTAAAGGGTTGATTAGACCACATTATACCACTGTGTTGACCCAGTAAATGGATTGATGGACTCAGAACCCCTACCAGAGTGTGGAAGTCAAACGCGCTTCAGGACATGTGGTTTTTACATCCACTGTTCTGTGATTTAAATTATCCACCCATTTCTTCCTTTGTTCTGTTTTATCTCTCTCTCTCTCTCTCCTGCACGGTGTCCAGCAGGGTAATCAAGTATGCACTTGACTCTGGGCTACATTTTAATTAGCCATCGGAACCTCCTAATGAAGTTCAGGACTGGCTTGTTAATTAACGGACAATCAGGGGCATATTTAGCCAAAGACAGAGCCAGAATAAAACACCTAAACATTTATAAACAGAGGGTTGAAGTCCACAGTTTCTAGAGGCCTGACCACATTTAACTTGAACACACACTAAACCCACGTCATAAACTCAACAGTGTTTCCAATATACTGTGAAACCATCAAGTTTGCATTTAGTTCACTTTTTCCTCAGATGCCATGGCCACAGATATTGCCCACAGTTTAGATTATCTGATGAACCACATGCAAAAATGGCAAGATCTGGCTGAAACCACCAACTTATATGCAACAAGACGTGCACCAGTCCGCTCGGATTCAAAGTTGTTGTTACATAGCTGATGAATGCTTACCTTATAATGAAATTTAAAGGTTATTGGCAATAAATTTAAAAATATATATATTAAGAGTTGTGTTTGAGGCACATGCAAACTGAAAATTCACAAGCAGAACTGTATGTTCTGCTATGATTTGAGTTACATGTATGGAGTAATTAACACTTTTCACGTCTGGATTGATAGAAATTCTACTTGCATAGTCCATAAACATTTTTTGTTTTTAATAATATTTCTGGTCTAATATTGTGGTAAAATTGACCACAGAAAAAGCAAGTCAGATGGTCTCTCTTGTCTAAGTGGGTGGTTCTTGGCCAGAATAAACTGTAATCTGGACCAGCTTTTCAAGTCAAGTGTTTTTTATTTGTATAGAGCTTTTTATAATCTATACTATTTCAAAGCAGCTTTACAGAAAATAATGCCTTAATGTCTTAAAACTCACCATGCAGTAGCCGAAAGCAACGCCTACTGTATATGCCAATAGCCAAAAGTCTAGTTTATTTACATTTACTGGCACGTAAATCTGAAATCAATGATACTACAGTAATGGCAACAAAGTGAGTAACAAAGTTGTAGTTCATTTAAATAATGACATAGCAGTCAATCCTTAAAAGTAGCAGAAAATGTATTTAGAAAAAACTGAATATTTCATATAACTGTGTCTGCATATGTGACTTACTAATTGCCTCAAAGAAAAATGTCTTTAAAAAGATTTGATGCCATGCAACTAATCTTTCAATCCAATAGACTAGCTCTTCCTTAAAGGTGATGTAATTAGTTTGACATAAATGAATCAACAAACTGCATGAATTTATGAGTTTAATTAATGATTTCGTCATCAAAACAGTAATTATTGCAATTCTGTTTGATGCTGCTAGTGCTGTATAAATCACACACTTCACCACCTGGTAAACATGATGCTGTTTCCTGGTAGACTGATAACCCTGTGAACACTGACTCATGGAAATGCATCAAAAATAGTCCATCATATGGCAGTTTAAGATTTTGGAAACACTTAGCCAGTTCTAAATCGTCCCTAGCTATATGAGACTCAAAGTAGAGATGGTGTGACTGACATTAACATAGGAAATAATTTATTCATTCACCAAAGGAGGGAAAACCCCTCAAGATGGGATTTTTCACATACTTCAAGCAGTAGAATAATATGAGCATATAGAAATCTCTGTAAAACGTTCCAAGGACACCGAGGTGAGGGCCCACTTTGAATTCAACTGCAAAACTGCAGCCGATCAAAGGCAGGGACAGGGGGGTTTTCTCCAGACGGAGAGGAGATGGAAACTTGTACCTCTGGGTACAGTGGGGATTTGACTCAAAGAGAAACTATAAGACATTAACACTCACAAAATCAATAGTACTAACTGTTTACCTGCTGACATTAGGATCAAACCTCTGCTTCAAAACTGCCACTGTTTCTGTATCTTATCATTTCATCTACAGTAATCGATACACGTCTTATACGATGGGATTTTAGTCTTTTTGGTGTCTAACCAGACTTCTAAAAGGGGAACTTTGCGCCATTAAAGAATAAAGATAAAAGCCATATGATACTTTTTCTTTTTTTGTGAACAGACTGAATTTTAAGCCATGATTCACTGATGATGTCTTCACCCAAACACTGAATGGAGAATGAGATCTGAGAGCTGCACCAGAGAGGGAAATTTATCATTAAAAAAGTATTTAAATTTCAGGCTGATCTGCATACAAAGCTGTCAAAAACATTTCTGAGGACATATTGCTTAAAAAAAAAAAATCAGTTATTAATATATTTGTGTATAAGTTGATGGTTGAGAAGAACTAAAACATGAATGTATCATTAGCAACCTTCATGTACAGGTCAAAGGTCAGGTCTATAGTTTATAAGTCAGTCTGAGATCAAAAGGTCAGTGCAGAGGTTAAAGGTCAGATCAGTGCACTCACAGTAATAACGTCAGTATCCATGGGACTCATCTCCACAACATTCGCTTGATACGGCTCATCTCGCCACATGGGGGCGTTATCATTTATGTCCAGAATAGTGATGTTCACCTGCAGTGGACAGATGCACGCAACATAATAATGCATTGCTTCGGGTGACTTTGCTTTAAAATATGATGAACAGTAGACACCCATAATAGACACCCAATTTCAATAAGTAATTACATTTATTAATGATAATAGTCACAATAAACAATTCTTCTGTCTAGTAATATGCAGTGGCTCTCATAGTTGATGTCGTTTGTCTGAGGTGGATCAAAGAGTCAGCCGTTACCGTAGCGATGCCGGTTTTCTGCTGTGGTCCCACCCCTCCATCAACGGCTCTTACGATCAGAATGTACTCGGACTTCATCTCTCGATCCAGAAGAGCTGTGGTGGTGATCTCTCCTACATACACATACGGTCATATTCAGCTCAGACACACATGAACCTGTTCCAGGCAGCTGGATGAGACTGAAGATAGTTTCAACTGAAACTGATAATGTACATAGTAATATTGTTGTTTCTATCTATTTAAAGTTGCAATTTTGATTGAGTGGTCCACACATAAAAACGTTCAATCAACCAATGGCATCAGTTTGGGGCGGGGCTACCTGGAGTATTTGAAACCTGTTGAAAAAGTTTTCAAAACAAAGAATTGTTTTGTGAAATGGAAATCTATAATAATTACTATAACTATACTAAGTGAGAAAGAATGAGAGCACTTATTTATGTGTTTTCAATATACAGTTCAATAAGAATCCTAACGTAAAGTGTGCGCGCAGCCGGCCATATTAATATACATAATATCTTCATGCACATGCAAATTCAGTTTATTTGGCACCACGTAAAAACTGCACAGTAAACACTACTAAAATATGCCTTATATAATATGTAGAATTAAACATTTCTGTTTAAAGGGGTGGTTCACTGGTTTTTTTCTAAGCTTGATTGTGTTTATGGGGTGCAGTCTAACATGTGTTAATGCTTCGTTAAAAAAAAACGTATTATTTTTCACATAATTTACCTTTATTCCACACCTCTACTTTTATTGTCCCTTCTCTGAGAAACGCGCTGATCATTTCCTGTTTTTATGAAGCCCC